TCTGTGTTTCTGCAGAGGCCACACATCTGGGAGCCAAAGCGTGACTGATCCCTCCATTGTGTCTCCATCGGCACAAGCTGGCTCCGTTTCTCGGCAGTAATAACACTTTCCATAGAAACAAGTACTGTTTCCTACAGTTAGGAAGGTGCTGAGCAGCTGCTCGGTGGCAACAGGCTTGATCTCTGTCCGCAGATTAACAAATCTTCCAACCACCAAAGGGGCCCGGTGGAAACCCAGGATCCTGTCCAAATGAAAGGCAGCTACCTCTGCATTGTGGGCGGGAGCCGCAGTGGCGGCGGCTGGGGGCGGTGAGCGCGGCGTGGGGCTGCCCCTCCCCGGAGGCGGCGGGGGCGGCTGGGGCCGCACCGCACAGCATCGGCGGCCATGGAGCGAGCCTAGGGCCCGGCAGGCTTGCTGGAATTGTGGGAAATACATCAGTGAAGAAATGGACTAGTGTGTCTGAGCATGGAGTCTCCTTGCTGACCATCACCCCCAGCTCTCCTTGATAAATGAGAGCAATTGGGTCAGGAGAGAAGGAAAAGATTGTAGTATATTCTTTATTAATGTGTTACTCCTTCCTCTATGGACAAGCATTCTTTTCCCCCCAGTTTTGTTTCTATTTTGAATAGTACTTGTGCATCTATCTTTAGATATTGTGGACTTCATTATCTATAGACTTTTGGCAGAAATATAATATAGATCCCATATAAATTTTCTAATAGCCATAATAAATAACATAAATAATAATATTAAAATTATTTGCTAGTAAAACAAAAAAATTCAGGTAAAATAATAATAGTACCTGATAATATATTTAACACCAACATATTCAGAATAGTGTTATTTCCGTAAGATTTTATGTTCCTTTAATCAAACTAAGTCTTAAAACAATTTATATTTTACATTTAGTACACATCTCAAATTAGACTCTAAATTTACATTGGCAATGCCTAATTTTTATTTTAATTCTGTAAAATTCTAAAATCAGAGTTAAAAAAATCTAGATTTTTCAGTAACATATAGGTATCAATTCTTAAATCAAATTAAATACTTAGTTGTCTATTATATAGCACACTTAGAGTACTACCACATTGCACAGTGTATTTCTATATGATGATTTACCAGGTGAATTGAAGTTTGTGTATATTAATATTAATATATATGGAAAAGTGCATTATTTTTATTTTTACTTGTTCAAAGCTTTTTTTCTGATATATTTTTTTTATCTCTCAATGTATGTGTTGTATTTCTTTATAAATGCAACTTGTTCACACAAGATTTGTATTGGTTCTTTATTAAGAGAATTTACATCTTTGAATTGAAAATAATTCATGAGCTTAAATGTTGGAAAATCAGAAATTGTGAAAAATGAAACAGAGCACATTCTAGGCATT